GAAAGATAAAGAGAACAATCCCTTAATGTTCAAAAAGTTCAATTAACGTATACGGACAAGAATAGGGTCTATAATTCCAAGAAGTCCACAAAAAGTCACAAGCTGATCCAAATATGTTTATTTGCACAACCTTATAAACAATATATGACTCAAAATCTCAATCTTTTCTTAGAAATACGCTTTAGTCTACAAAGCTTGCAAAATTGCAAATTGGTCATCGAACTTGTAAAACATTGAATAATGCTTCTAATCCTTAAATAATAAGTTATATTCAGTTATTCACTATACTTTTAAGTCTGAAGTTTTCCTAAATTGTGCCCTTGAACTTTTCAAATTTTGATTAAGTCCTAAAATAGTTTCAAGTCCTCAAATAATTTATATAAAAAATAAACCTAAAAGTTCATGATTCATTCGATTTGATTAAGTTCTCAAACTTTGCACTAGTCCTAATGAAAAATTGGGAAATATTATAGTATCGTCCTTATTTCTAAGTTTTGTTGCATTCTTTCTACTAGAATCTTCTTTCTTAGTAGTTTTCTATTGTATACTTGGCTTTCTGAGCCTCTCCATGTTGATGTATTTTCTTGCATAAGCTAAGAATCTTTTGATATCTTTAGAAGTTCTTTTGGTCTGGGAGACAAAAAGCCTTCATTGCCTCATATCGCTGAATAGAATGGTTGCCATCATTGGTGGGTCCAAATAATGTACATCTAGGGATGGTAATGACGAGAATTATGCATGTGCAATTTGTTACAAGAGAGTTAGAATACTTCTCGACAATTAAAAAGTTGAAGTAAAAAATCAACATTATGTTCTTGAATATTTGAATATGCTCTTTCAGAGCATTAGAACAATCATATTCTGGTAAGGCTGGAAACTTGAATATATCCAGTAGAGGTTCAACAAGTATCTCTTCTGAATAAGGATTGTCCTTTCTCCAAAACCCTCTACTTGAGTGATTGATAGATTTTGGGTTGATTTTATTGTCTTTGCTTCCCTCTTCGCATATAACTTTTAGAGATACTATTTTGTACAATCGTGACACTCTTACCCTGGATGAATTATACAATGCTCTGTTCTCTAAAGATAAAATAAAGCTGTTTGTGGTTGGATATGAGGCTCATGAGAGGGCATGAGAAGAATTCTAGTGGTGAGATGAGGGGCATATCGAAATCTAAAACTAGAGACAAAATTTGTAATTATTGCAAGAAAAAAAGATCATTTTAAATCTGACTGCTATAAGTTAAAAAATAAAAATAAAAGAGCTATTACTAATTAGATGGAAAAACAATCAGAAAATTTCGGTGAAGCGGTTGTAGAAGATGGCCACAGCGATGGAAATATTCTAGTTATTTCTAATGGCAACTCCAAACCTTGCGGATTGGATTTTGATTCTACTTGCATGTTTCATGAGTAGTTTTCAACATATGAAATTGTTTCTAAGATCCTGTTTGGTAGCCATTTTTCAGCAAAAAAGAAGAAAAAAAATAACTGTTGAAGAAGTCAAAAAAGACGGCCGTGAGAAGGAAAGTAAAGAACGTTGGCTGAATTTGAATTGTAAAGAACAAAAAATGCATTCTTTGGTATGAAAAATGGCTACCAAACAGAAGCTAAATATATTGTGATAATGAGAATTAATGCACCTTGTAAGATGGTTGTTATTGGAATTGTCAAAATTAAAATGATAGATGTGTCTTGTCAGAATAATTGGTGATGTGAGATATGTTCCGATCTGAAAAGAAATTTTATCTCTTTAAATACTTTTGATTCAAAAGGGTACAAGTACACTGGTAAATGTGAAGGTTTGAAAGTTAGCAAAAGTGCCCTCGTTATGAAAATGCAGAGAGGGTTTGCCAAATTATTTGTCTTGTAGGGTTCTATAGTCACGGTGATACAGTTTTCGTTACTCTTTCCTTATCAAATGATGTTATTAGACTTTTCCATATGTGTCTTGGACATATGAGTGAGAATGAGTTGATTGAACTGAATAGAAGAGGACTTCTTAACGGACCGAGTACCAGTAAATTGAAGTTCCGTGATCATTGCATTTTTGGGAAGTGGAAGAAAGTTAGATTAACTAAAGGCATTCAAAATATGAAGAGAATACTTGATTACATACATTTTGATCTCTAGAGACCATTTAGGATGCCTTTCAAGGGAGGTGCTTACTATATGTTGACCATTATGTGTTTAATACATTCAAGTAGTGGAAGACGATGATTGAGAAACAGACAATGAAGCGGGTAAAATGTCTGTACATCGATATGGTTTGGAGTTTTGTTCAAATAAGTTTAATATTTTCTACAAGTGAGAAGGATTTTTAAGGCACTTGACAATTCGTAAGACTCCATAGCAAAATGGGGTGGCAGGATGAATAGGACTTTGTTGGAGAAAGTATGTTGTATGCTCTCCAATGTTAGTTTACCCAAGTCATTTTGTGCTAAAATTGTTTTTAACGCCTGTTTTTTTGTTAATCGGTCACCCTCAACTGCCATTGACAAAAAGACTCCAGAAGAGGTGTGGTTCGATATTCCTCCTAGTTACTCTGATTTGAAGATATTTGGATATCATGCTTATGCTCTTGTTGATAATGGAAAATTGGAACTTAGTTCTAAAAAGTGCATATAAGCTATGGTATTCAGAAACCTGTAAAGTCATAATCATCAGACATGCTATCTTTGATGAAAGTGCAATACTTCATGACTTGCCTTCTACAGATTCTATTGACACAAATGAGCAAAAATTAAACATATAGGTGGAGTTTGAGATTGATTCGTGGTTTATACCAAAGTCTACATCCCAGTCTAGCTCAGAAACAAAGGGTATTGTCACTTTATCACCACGACTAGTGCCACCACGGTATTCTATTGTTAAAGACAGGTCGAGTATAAAGTAAGACTAGTTGCAAATGAATATAGTTAGATTTCGAGAATAGACTTCAAAGACGTGTTTCCTCCCGTTGTAAAGCATAGTTCGATTCATGCTTTGCTTGGTATTGTGGCCAAGATTGATTTTGAGTTTGAACAGTTAGATATGAAGCAACATACTTACATAGAGACTATGATGAGGACATATACATGTAGCTTACAAGTGCTTCCTGATAAGGCCCCTTTATGGCATGAAACATTTGTCCACACAATGGTATAAGATGTTGGACTCGTTCATGATTACTCATGACTTAAAAAAAATACATATGATAGTTGTGTTGATTTTAAGAAGAGTGATGGTGGGTCATTTATATACCTATTTTTATATGTTGACCATATATTGATGGAGGCAATGGGAAGGGAGAAACAAGAAAGGTGAAAGCCTAGCTTAGTAAAAAATTTGATATGAAAGATTTAGGAACAATAAAGAAGATATTTGGTATGGAGATTTCGAGAGATATAAAGGTAAGAAAATTATACCTAAGTCAGAAAGGGTACATTGAGAAAGTTCTCTACAAATTCAATATGTAGAATGCCAAACTCGTTAGTAAACCTTTAACTGATCACTTCATACTTTCATATGCCTTATCTCTGCAATCAGATGATGAGGTTGATTATATGTCATGAGTACCATATTCTAATGCAGTGGGATCTCTCATGTATGCTATGGTTTGTTCACGTCCAGATTTATCATATGCAGTCACTAGAGAGATAAAATCCTGGTAAAGTATATTGGAAAGATGTTCATAGGATTTTCAGATACTTGCGTGATTCTACTAATATTTGTTTGCTTTTTGGAAGAAATACAGATGGAGTTTATGATTATGTTGATTTTGATTTTGTTGGAGATCTTGAAAAAATTTAAAAATTACTTAATGAGTATGATTTTAATAACTTTGACGACCAGTCTTTCCAAACAATTGAAAGCTTGGTCGAAACACACTGTCAATAATACATTATTATGGACTGTCTCAAAATACTATTTGGTGTGATTATCGATCTTCTATATCACCACATTTCATAGTGAGTCCCATTCAAAGTGAGAAAAATCGACTAAAAAAGAGATCAAATCTAGAGCAAGTTATTTATTTTTATCATAACATCTATTTCATGGTCAAAATAAGTAATTTTTTATAACTATTAAAATAAGAAATTTATTTTAGATATGATCAATACAAATCATCTATAATAAAATTTACTTAATAATTAAAAGTAAATTTAGTCAAATATGCATTAAATAAAATACCTAATTTGACAATAGATATTCACATTTCATGAATGTCATGAAAACAGTATTTAATAATTGTAGTGTCTTTAATAAAATTTGAATAATTGAGCATTGGATTTGGGTTGGGATTCAAACTAGAGCTGCCTTGATACAATTATTTGGACCAAAATTATACATTTTCTTCTTAATTTTTTATATGTGCTGGGAGGCAGGGGCTACCCTCCACTACATCCTTCCCTGTTTGTTGCTGAATTTGGCTTCAGGGTTTTTTGTGAAAGAGGTATAGAGTTTTTGTTGAAGAGTAAAAATTTATTCCTTACATTAGAATTCATTTCAAGGTGGAAATTGGTTAGAGTACCAAATTTAGTTTGGCGTGGTCCGAAAAACTCACTGTGTGACATTTGTGGTGAAATTAAAATTATGAAAAAAATAGGGGTCATGGTGATGGTATGATGTATATTAAGGTTTCATAGTATCGTATCATTCGGAGTAACCGCACCTCTTGTAAAACTATCTTTGATATAAAGAATTTTCTCCTCTTCTGCTCGTTGTTTTTTCCCATCTTGAGTTTCATGTAAATCTCGTGTTCTTTTTCTTATTTTATGTATTGATAAATATCGCTTTAGCATGACAGATATCATAACAAAATGGTATAAACACCATTCATACCTGGAAATAGGGAAAAATATTACAGAAGATGAACTTAAACATACATATATATATATTTTATAATAACATATAATGAAACTTCCAGAGGCTGAGTCTTTATTTTAGAACAAAAAGAAAACCTATATATTTAATCCAAATTAATTTCTTCACGCATCAATCCTTCGCAAATTTTTAAATTAAGCCCCCACAGGTTCATCTTGATCATCGACATTCTCTCTGGATGCCTCCTCGAGTGATTTTCCTTTAGGTTCAGGCACAGCAAAAGTGCAAACCATTCCCAGTATATTAATGACGCCAAGAACAATAAGGGAATTCCTCACACCAATGCCAGGTGGGTAGCCAGCGTCTGTTTTCGAGGCGTCTTTGCTTTGAGCAGCATAGAGAAATCCATAAGCACCAACAATGGCGCCAGCTTTGCCAGCAGCTGCAGATATTCCATGGCATGTCGACCGAAGCCTGGCTGGGAAAATTTCAGCTGGGACGACAAACGTGGTTGCATTTGGCCCGAAATTGGCAAAGAAAAATGTAAGTGCGTACATTATAACAAATCCAATTCTGTTAGCCTTTTCTGTCCAGTGCTCGTAAGGAATGGCTATGGCGAACATGAAGACTGTCATGAAGAAGAAGCCCATTAATTGGATTGCGAATCGTCCAATGATGTCAATAAAAGCTACTGTAAACCAGTAGCCTGGAACAGTACTGCAGAGAGCAATTAATGTTTGTGCTTTAGAAATGTGAAAAACTTCCTCAATTGCATTCATGGTTTTGGCAGGTGGGATCCATCCAACTGCACTGAAAACGTCTTTCTGGAAAAGATTTTGGCTGTAAAAAGCAATGTCTAGAAGAAACCATGTAGAAGTTGTTCCAAATAAGTGAAGACCATGGCGGCGAACAAATTCTTTGGAGAATAAACCGAAAGAATTGGATTTGCTTTCTGCGAGTTTCCGTACTTTCTCTTCTTCTGCTTCGAGTTCGACATTCAACACATCGGCCATATCTTGAGCTGCCTGTTTTGCGTTTTTGGCCACCAGAGCAGTGTAACGACCAGTTTCTGGCATCTTCATGCGCCAGTAGAACGTCAGGGCTGCCGGAAGTGCACCAAACATTAGAATTATACGCCAAATGTAGTCTGCCTGTGGCACCAATGAGGCCACAGCATTATCCTCATAGGCTGGAGCCTTGTACTTGTGATCAAATCCTGCTGATACAGCTAAAGAAATAATCCCACTAAACAAAATACCAAACCCTTGCATTGCAAAAACTGCAGCAATAAAAGCTCCACGAGTTTTCTTGTTGGCATATTCGGACATAATCGTGGCTGAAAGAGGATAATCACCTCCAATACCAAACCCTAACCAGAATCTAAAGAAACAAAGTGTAGTCATGACACCTTTTGGGCTTGATCCAAAGGATAAGCCCGATGCAACTGAGCATACAACCATGAGAAGTAGAGTCATACCATATACTTTTTTCCGACCCATCTTGTCGCCGAGCCAACCAAAGAATAGCTGCCCGGCTAGGGCTCCGACTAAGGCCACACCAGTCACTGAAGACGAAACAGCAGGAGGTAATGTGCCTGGCTTTGGTGCGCCTGGCTCTGTGTAATATATACGCCCCAGTAACTTGGTCACTAAGGAAATGCTGAAAAGATCATAGGCATCTGTAAAGAAGCCCATTCCAGCAACAACAATGGCTGTGAAATGGTAGAGTTGAATCTTGGCTACATCAAGTGCATTAAGCACTTGTAATTGATCTCCAGCCATGGTTGAATTTGTTTCTTAATTATTCTGCATTAGAGATTAAACATGATTTACAAATTGTTAGATCCTCGAGATCATTAATTTGTTTTAATAGATTATTGATGATCAAAGGCAGAAGTAATGCATTTTACCGGAAAAAAAAAATTTAATTGGAAAAAACATTATCAGTTCCTTGGATAATAATTCAATTTGAGGGGAACTTTCGGAAAAAAAAGGCTGCTATTGGACAATTATTCATTTTCTTCCATTATTACTTCAAAAATCTGTATATCTTAAAGATTTTCTCGACAGATTAATTCACCTGCGTATAAATTAAGATGAACATCAATTAAGTAGGTTTCTTGAAATTATCACTATATATCATATAGAGGCATGTATGTTTAAGTTGATACAAAGAAATAATCTATTTATATATAGAGAGTAAAAACATATAAAAATATTTAGCCATTGTTTGGTGGAAATTAAAATCTAAATTTTAATCTAAGTCAAAATCAACAATTAATTTAACTGCATTATTCCATGGACCCCCAAAAAACTATATATTTCATCAATTTTTTATCAAAATCTTCTGAAAATCTAATTTTAATATCCACTAAGCACATGCTTAGAAATGAAATTGATTGGAGTAAAATTAAAGTTGACAGCAGAAGCTATAAAAATATCAACTGTCATTTGACAATTAAAAAAAAAAAAAAAAAACTGTTTTCCCTTCAACAATTTTTTTAAAACAAATCAAGTGTCAAACATGATGTACACTTTGGAGTGTACAAATGACATTTTCCCAAAAATATTAGAAATGAAACTGATTGGAGTAAATTGAAGTCGAACGTTAATGTTTTTGACAACATTCTAGTAAAACAACTTTCATGATCAAGTTACATTGTAAATTC